ATGTATAATCTTCAAGCAAGTGCTTAATCCATTTTCATCTTAACGTATGGAAAAGCTAAGCCACTTTTGAAGTGTCTCACTTTTCTTGCCGTTTCCGGATGTGTGACAGTGACATGACACTGACACTCCTAAATATTTGTAACATTTTAGGGTTCCGTAGTCCTGACAAGGAACCCTTATAGTTTCGATATGTCTGTCTGTCCGAGGTTTTCCTTGGAAACTGTTGGCACTAGGGAGCTGTAATTTTGTGGAGGTATGTAATATTAATCACGCCGAAAAAACGGTAGATTTTTTTTTTAAATGATCCGGTTCTGATGCCAATAGGTGGACATGAACAGGCAACACGACCCTACCTCTGGAATCGGTTTACGTTGGCCATTCAATAAATATGTAAATTTCCGCCAATATCTACAGGACCAATGCGGGGACGATTTTGTACTTGCAAGTTGATCATAGATCTGTACTCGTATTGCTTGCCTAAATATGATTTAGGCCTTTTGGGAGCAAAATTGTTGGTGATAATACCGTAATATCTTCCTCGTATTTTTTTATCATAGCAATCTTCAATTTGGGTCCATTTTTTTTTGTTATAGGTGACCTTTCTGGGGGTGTATTTATGCCAATGTCGACTGGCGAGTGGATATTGATTATGTAGTAAGAGAATAGTGGGTGTTTTAATACCATTGTTTTTTCAAAGATTCCGTGGAGATCCCTTCAGCGGACGCCATCCAATGATTTAGATGAAGCTTATATAAACCTTCCTCAAATAAAACCAATCTTACTCAAATATTTTATGAAAAGATTAAGTAAAGTAAGGCATATGCATTATCAATTATGCCGACTTATACAGGTTGGGCCAAAATTTTTAGTAATAAAGTTACACAAAAAGCACGATATTGTTTCGTGACTAAAATTCATGAAATTGTGCACAGTTTTCGAGATATAAGGCGTTGCAATTTACAAAATTTGGTCCATCCTGTATTTTTTTTTTTACTTATCATGAGTCGCTGTAAGTTTTTTTGTCTCTTGTATGTTAAAGAGACAATGGCCAAGCTTTATTCATTAATTATGTCAGAGATTACGATAAAGTGCCCACCGCTTGCTAACATTTGCAAATCTTTTTTTATCGGTTCGCATAAAAATACGTTTTCTTCGATATCCCAAAAAGAAAACTAACTACTCACACTCCCGTAAAGTGTTTCGTTGACTTAGGCGCGTAAATGGCTTTTTCAAGTCGCTTGCATCGTCGTAAGAATTTTGAATATGTTTGTATAGTGCCCAGAAGAAAAGGGAAAATATGGTTTTTCGATAAGAGTTTGATTCATGTGCATAATGTTGAACGGATAACGTCATATCAAGCTAAACACTGTGGGATCTTTAGTCGTAATAAGTGGTTTTATGGGTATAAATTCCCAAACATCCATTCAGCCGCAAGAATTATTAAGCTAAGCCGCAATTAGCCTACATTTATTTGAGTTAAATCAATAGTTTCAAGTACCTAGTACGTCGAATCATGATTTAAATTCATTAATTTGGTATAAGAGTAAGTAGATTTTGTTGTTCTCGTTTATAATACTTCTTTAGATTATAATAAAATGTCTTGTCGAGTCGCTATCTAAGTATACAGCCGAATACACAGTTATTGATATTATAATAATAAACAATATCAAGTAAGAGATAAACGTATAAAAGTAGGTATAATAACGTGATAAATTTATCAAAATCAAACACAATTCACACTTGTAACAATGAATTAGCATTTTAATCGAATGTTCGTTAAAAGTATAGTACCTACATACCTACCTATCTTTATCCAAAGTTATTGTTAAAACTGGTAGAGCCCAAAAGATAAGGAGACATGTAAAGTGCCCCTTAAAAGGGCTACCTTTTCTTTTTTATTTACATTTTGACGTTCATAAGTGCCACTTATGGTCTACTAAACTAAATAAATATTTTTGATTTTGATTTGAAAATTATTAAACCAATCACAAATTAGGAATCATAGTGCAGTGGACAGTAATAATGATTGATGACACCACTATTAGACTAAGAGCTGGTGAACGCCAGACTAACTTTTGCAGTAGCTTTAACGGTTTATTAATATACTGTAATTATATTAGTAATAAGTTGCATCCTCATCAGCCAGATAGTTGTGATCGATCCAACCCTTTGCCAGACAATCATTTTAGGGTAGCTGCTAAAGCCACAATAATCCAAACTTATTTCAGCTTTTATAGAATAACGCAGATTTGGTGTTCACTAGCTCTTAGTCAGTAATCAATTTTTTTTTTCACATGCTGACTTAATGCTATACGTCAAATAACTTCATTTGTTAACCAAGTAGTAAAGTACTAGCTAACCTATAGAATAATTGTTAACCAATTTAAAGCTAAAATTAAATGTTTTACGAGTGCCTAAAAATGATTGGTTACTAGTTCAATTTCAAAAATAAATCTTTAGGAAACAATAATTAATAGCTGTTGGAGGATCTTTTTAAATTTATTCATCGTTTACGCAGTCTGCATCAATCTAGTTGTAGCTGCCTAGCTAGCCTGTAACCAAGGCTAAACTGCATAACAAGTTATTATGATGAACTCTTGTGACTGCTTATCTGTTATTCTCGCTTTTACTTACTTAAATATATTTTGTTGTTTTGTTAATTTGTTTCATCCATGGCCGATGATAAGTACTCGTTATTAAGCAAGCTAACAGATAAAATGTTAATTCCAAGTATTGTGTTGGATTATTATGATAATAATTGTTGTGCTTAATTTGTTAGGTTTAAGTTAAGTCTGAAACTTTGCAAAATCATACTTAAAGTCATAGTTTGTTTCGTAGATTCATCAAAATTAATTCAGACATTCTATACTGTCGGAATAAGCTGCACTTCTGTTAATAAGTTAACTTACATACTAAAGAAACATGACTACATTTGACTAGAACTAGAACTATTAAAAGTGTGCTTGTAAAACATCTGAGAGTAATTTGTGCTTCTGAGTGCACAATCAAATCAAACCAATAAAAGCACATACTTAATCAGATTGAATCTCGATCGACTTGTTATTGATGTTTCAACAAGGTCGAACAAGTACCTTCAGACTTCAAAGATATTTAAAAAGAAGCAAGTCACGCCTTTGTAAAAAAAAAATTCTGCCTACAGACTTATCAAGACGTCTGCTCCAGTTTTAAATATTTAAGTAAGTAGTCGAAGAAAATACGTAGGGGAAAGTCGGGTATATTGAACCGACTGCTAAATTGGGCCACCTTAATATTTAGTAGTTTATTCTTTATTTATATGGTTGCAACGGCCACTATACTCAGCGATACATAACAAATTTTTCTGCATAACCCGAAGGTAAACTGCATGAGAATGCCTGAAGTCATTAAATTCGCCTAATGTTAAAATTTTGGCATTGAAGTACAGGGTGGCCCAGAAAGAAATTCACTTTTGAAAATTCAAGGAAAAAAATTCTGTGTAATTTTGTAGAACTTTATTCATTACAATTCAAAGAAAATAAAATGAAATTTATTTTTAAATTTACCTTCATTGAATTACATCGTCCAGGAGATTTCCTTGACGCTTACAACATTCGATCAACATACCTCAAAATCTTGAAATGCGTTCGTTAGAATTACCTCGAAACCCATTTTTCATTTTTTGCCGAATGTTCAGCTCCAGTTGCTGCATGGTTGTTGGATTATAAAAGTATACTCTATTCTTAAGGTAATACCACAAAAAGGAGTTTTCTGGAGTGAGGTCAGGGCTTCCTGGTGGTCAGGAGATGTCACCCCTGCCTGAAAATATTTTTTTGTGGGAACATGTCTTTTACCATCTAAATGCTCTCATTTGAAGTGTGACACGTAGCCCTATCTTGATGAAATCAAGTGTTCCTGTCATAGACTTGCGAATCTTGCCACTTTGATATCAAAAAGCTTTTCAGCATGTCAGTATAGCGCTCTCAAAAATTAATCATCCTTTCGATGCAACAAACCAATTAAGCAGGGGTGAAATCTCATTGCCACTAAGAAGCCCTAATCTCATTCCAGCAGACTTCTTTTTGTGGGGTTACATTATGAGCAGAGTATACTCTAAAAATCCAAAAACTCTGCAGCATTCATCCATCCTGAATCCATTTCAAGGTAACTCATACGAAAGTTTTCCAAAATTTTTATGTATGTTGACCGAATGTTGTAAACGTCAAGGGAATCACATGTACGATCAAATTTAAAAAAGAAAGTAAATTTAAAAATAAATTGCATGAAAGTTCCTTTAAATTACGATAGTTAAAGTTCTACAAAAATTTACAGTTTTCGTTTTCTTAAGTTTTCAAAAGTGAACTTTCTTCTGGGCCACCCTGTATAAATAAATAAATTGATTTATCAGTATTTTTTTGCGTATCACTGTGTGAATAAATGATAATATGGATACAAAATTTTGAAGGTGGTAAAATTTAACAGCCCGTCCAATATACCAGACTTTCCCCTAATTTCAGGGTTGTCTTGCCCTACCTAACTGGTTAAGTAAATGCCAACTAGAGACAAATAACTTATACCCACACCAGTGCCTGTTTTAAGTACCTATATTTCAACAGACAGTCCTTTAGTGCTAAGATTTTGTTTGAGGCCATTTAATGTTTAGTTAATTTCTTTGTTACTTTTCCAACTACTTATACCGATTGGAAAAAAACCTATTCGTGGATACTAGACGTAATCAGCTGATAACAAAAGTACCTACTCGTAGCTAAAAACTTTTGCCTCTAAGTACCTATTTGTCGCTATTAAGTACCTACTCTTCGGAAGTGCTGCAACTCTTGTGCTGTGTGCATCCTGGATCTCTAAGTTAGATCCAGGGACAACCAAAAAATGAAAGCTAATTTAGATCCAGGAGCAAGTGAATGCTAATTTATCCATCCAGGGAATTTCCCTGTCAGTCAAAAATACTACTGTTTTTATATGATAGTCGAAATTTGGTAGGGCATCCATTATTTCAAAAATTAACATAATCATTTAAATAATTTATTGTTTCATTTATATGTCTATGAAGAAAGCGGTTTTCGGGAACACTCTCGCTGCAGCACGTAGGTTGTGTATGACAGTGATGTATGATTTCGCCATGATGACTGACAACAGGTCGCGACGGAGTTCTACGGATCGCTTTTCGTAGTCATTTTTCCTTGCTAACGTGTCTGGGTCTGAAACAATAACATTACTTAGTTTTGTTATTTTAAAGGCAAAAAAGAAAAGGCACTTATAGGGCAAGTATGTGCTACCCCCTTCATTACCATCTACTCTTAAAATGTCATCTTCATCAACATTTCAACCACAGGACATTCACCGCTAAACATAAGCAATGCCAATGCCAAGCCAATGACTTCCACAACGAAGGTTGGTAGCGATCATACGTGTGATTGTGGTCAAAACCTTACAATATCTTTTTAATCCATTAGTTTTTGAAACTTTGATACTATTAAAACATTGGAAACTCGTAGTACAAAGGTTTGAATCTATAATTTAGTTTTCTAATTTACTTATTTTAAAATATTTACTTAATTATGCACTTAGGGTTATTGTAGAAACATTTTTGAATCAAAAATCATTGCATTTCTATCGACATCAAGGGGTTGATAGAGATGCAATAATGCATTACATAAACATGACGTTTTACTCAACTTTAAAACTATTCATTCTAGTAAACCTTCATAATATAATTAAAATAAAGAAAATATTTTTACTTTACTACTACCATAGAATAATAATAAATACTAGGTCCTACTACTGCGAACTAATCGATATTCATGCTGTCCAGACTTCCTGCTCTAAACTTGGAATTTCGAGTCCGATTCTGGCAGACAAGTTATTTATAGCCTCTTTGGAAAAAAGATGTTTAGTATTTTCCGCTAAATGGTTTGAAAAAGCTGCACTGACAAAAGAGTATAAATTAAAACTTATAGCTGTTGTCATAAAAGATTTATTTTTATTTATACTTTTGTTTTGAGTTTTTTGGAAGTCAATAATCAGGATTAAGCAATTTGGATATGTATTCCCCGAACTGGTCGATTTTTACACTGAGTTTTCAGAAGGAATTTGAGTGAGGTCTTTTCCCAGAAATGAGACCAGGTAGGTCAAATAAAAATTACTATCTTCCTCAACCAAAACAAATTCGGATATCAATACAAAGTATTACCAGAGTCAACAAAATTATCTCTAACGGGACGCAAATAGGAGGGTAAATGACTAACTATATGTCATTGTGGTAGGTCAACTAATCAGTTGATGATAGTCCACTACAGAACATAAAGCCTATCCAATTTACGCCGCAAAATTCGGCCTTTCGCCAAATTACCCCGTCAATATTAAACGACGAGCTTACAACATAACCTACTCGTATATTTGGACGATCTTCCCAAGGCCAAAGGTCTACGCGCTTAAACTAAGAGTAGGCGCACACCGTTTATTTTTAGTTGGCCGATAGTTGTGCCCGATTGTAAATTGTATGAAGAATCGGCCAAATCGAATCGGTGGGTCCATATTGGCTCACCTAAAGTTATTTACCCGAAATTGTTCTTCCTAACGATTTTAAATCCGAATGATCACTCTTCCTAAAACTTTTCATCCTAAAGTTTTCATTCATACTATTTGTAGTGCTACCGGCGATGTTCATAACACTCATGTTTCCGAAAATTTTAATTAATAATATCATTTATGTAAATATATTTAAACTCCTACTGTTTTTTATCATAACACTTTTATCCCTAAACATTACCATAATATTTTCACTCATACCGTAGAATAATAATAAATACTACGTACAGAAGTACGTTCTTCGCGAATAAAACGTAAGGCCACAGTTCTAACCTAACCTAAACCAATAATAATGAATAGACCGATTCGTTTCTGGAACTTGACTGAATGACTGGAGCGGGACTCTGGCTTCGCTCGCTCGGCTCGTGCGTTGTGGTCACAGTTCTAACCTTACCTAAACCAATAATTATAGGACCGATTCGATTCTGGAACTTGACTGAATGACTGGAGCGGGACTCAAGTATACGTGCTAATGCCAACAAACTTGAACTTTAATATATCGTCAAAGAAAGAAATCTAAACAAAAAAGATATGACTTTGAATAATAGTGTACAATATGGTTATGTTGAGAAAATCTAGAAGAACAAATAAAAGTATAATAGATGTTTATTGCTAATGACATTATGAAGTTGAATGATTCGGAATTATGAACATTAGAGACAGAGTAGTTAGGAATTGTGATTGTTAGGATGAAAAATTTTAGGAAGAACATTTTCGGACTTCCAATTTTCGGAGCTGAAAATTTAGGTGAACTTTGGCGCACCCCGAATCGGTAGTGTGCGCACTCCCATACATGCACATACTGATCAACTGCCCGACTAAACTATCGGCCGACGAAAAATCAACGGTGTGCGCCTACTCTAATAGCAATTCTCGGTCATTCAACAAAAACATAATTATCTTCGAAATGTAGCGTTACTAAAATAAAACTTTAAGTACTTTAAGTAACGCTTTTTTAGTACACCAGTTTTTTTACATTTTTATTCTGGTTCCATTGGGGAGGTATAATTATGTTTTTCTGCAATTGAAATGGTACGAAATTATTGCCCTTTACTTGAGTGTTGAAACATGTGTGATTGACCTCTACATATTTTTTAAAATTACTAGGTAGGTGCTCACAATTTCACATTAATTTTTAAACTTATTCACACGAGTACTATAATAATAATGATGACCTTACTTGTTAGGACTTATCGATAATTTTGGAACTTTTGTGAAAATTCATGTAAATCAATTTATAAATGCGAAAAAAACAAAATTAAGTTTATAATTATGTATACCTAACAAACTCATTACCCTCCTTGTCCAGAGTCGGGTAAAAAACTACTTTGTATTTTATTAAACAGAGCTGAAATCTTTTTCTTGTTTATCTCAGATAAAAAGCTCTGAGAGTTGCGTTCTTTGAAAATCCTCAGAGAAAATCGAGGAAAATCAACAGACCTGCCATCCATCAGGATTTGCGTTGATTCAATTGAAAACAATGAATTTAGAAGTGTCTTTTTAAAGAAATCAACGGATTAGGGAGGCTAAAAATATTACAAAGGCTTTTTGTTTTTATGTTAATGGCATTACGTAACTCTTACACCTTTTAGAAGATGTTAGTAATACATAAATAGGAAATATATTTTCGATTAATTTTATTTATTGAGTTTTTAGTAAGCCATTTCAGTTAATGACATTGACACATTTGTAGAAGTTTGGTAATTTATGATTGGACACGCAAATTATGAAATAGCTCCGTTTGAATATTACAAATATCTTATTTTGTTCCCAACGTCTTGAATCACTGTCCAAATATAATTCTGTGCTTTTTTAAGCACGTGTAGATTTCCTGCCTGATTGATATTTGATCCTTGTTAGAAGTCATAGCAACTCATAAAGTCTGCCAAGAAAAGGTAGACTATTTACTGCTACCTTAAAGAACATAAATTAAATATGTTACTTCATTTGTAATATTTCATGTAGATAACCTTTACGAATGTAGGTAATTCGTATTTTAACTTGGATCGAAGTTTTTGAGTTCCAGCGTCTAACTCAGTCAGTGCCTGCGGTATGGGAACTGTCCGGGAGGAGTGTATTATAAGACGTGACAGAGCCATGGACAGAGCATACAAATCTAAATCATATATGAAGTCTCGCTAACGTTTGATGTCTCAAAAACACCATCCCACCATACCTCAGGCTCTAAGTTAAGCGCGAGACCTGTACTTAAATAGGTTATTTTACTCCATGTAAGAAAAAATATAAAAATGCATGTCTTTAATAGATTTCATAAAAACTAAACGGGAAACGTTGATATTTTTACATAAAAGTGCAAATAGAATTTTTAAATTCACTTTTAAAAACGCATCTTTTTAATCTGTTCTTCAAATGTCTAAAACGCCATCCGCCATGACGGATCCGCAGTGACGTCACTCCGTTAGTAAACAAGTAGATTTTGGCTTGATTTATGTGTAAAATATTGAATTTGTTTGTGATAATATCACTTTAATGGACTTTTAAGTTTTATTTTATTAAAATGGCGTCATGGAAGACGGTTTTGTGAAAGCAGAAAGTTAAAGTAAAGTTAAAGAAACTAACGGAGTGACGTCACGAGCCGAGTCAGCATGGCGGCTAGCGTTTCCGCGCGAAAAGTCAAAATCATATTCACACTCAAGGTTTCACACCAAAGGCTTTTAAAAATTAAAATTAAAATTCCACTGGTTCATTATAACCTTAGGATTGTTTTACAACATATTTCAAAAAAAGGTGTAAGACCCAGTTCTTACCTGTGGAGATAGCTTCCATGAGCTTGGAGTCCAGGGTGACCTCGGGAGTGCCCAGGGTCTCGCAAGTGATGGTCTCGGGGCCGACTTCGAAGTACTCCACGCCATCCTTGTTTGGAATCAGCTCGTAGTTGTATTTTGAGGTGACGAGAGCGGCTGTATTAAAAAAAGTAGACATTAAGAATTTATAAGGGCTGCAGACTAAGGCTAAGAGCTCATGGCGCGATTTTCACCCGCGCCCGCGGCGATTGCGGGCCCGCAGCTTGTAAAAACTAATGCACAACTCACGACGCGGTTTTCGTCCGCAGTTTTCTTAGAATAACCGCGCCAATAACCACTACCGTGAGTTTTGAAATAAAACCGCAATTCCACAACCGCCGCGGGCGCGGGTGAAAATCGCACCGTGAGTTCTTAAGAGCTAAGCTAAGTTATTAGATTAGTTCGCAGAGCTGACGCAGTTTTACTGCAAATTACGAGTATACAAACGCTATGGGAAACTGAGCTATGCGAGCTAAAGTAAGCCTAGGCGCAGACACACAGATTTTTAGTTGGCCGATAGTTGGGTCGGGCTGTAAGTATGGGTATGGCACATTACACCGATTTGGTATCGGTCGATTTTTCATACAAACAGAATCGGGCCCAACTATCGGCCGTCTAAAAGTCTATAGTCTGCGGGGAGTCTAAGGCTGAGTTGCGCCATCTTACTTTAACTTTGATAAACGTCAAAAATCTGCCAAAATCCATACAAAATACACCGGTTATCGTTATAATTACGGTCTATGTTAGATGGTGCAACTCAGCTTACTTAAGCGTTTTCAGTTTACTACAGACAGGCATTGTACACAATGTTGGATTATTATGGAGTTAAACAATTAGGCCCCTCAAAATGCTCTACTAAAACACATAATAGTCTGTTTCAATAGAAATGAATTTAACTGGTATAATTCTGAAAACAAATAACCCGGCGAGCTTCAGCCACCGATACTAGTCTATGTTCATAGTATTTGATTGCTAAGGGAAATACTTAATGTAATCGTATATTTAGATTTCCCAATATGTATCAACAGAATTTATGGTTTTCTAAGAGCTTTCAAAACCACCAATATTGTTGTAACTAATTATTGTAGGCTAATAAAGTACATTTTAGCCTTACAATATTAAAAACCATCCATCGAAAAGCAATGTCATTGAAAATATTCTACAAAACATTGCAATCTGCATCGTTCCCGAAAGTTTCCCAAAACATGTCTCTTTCTGTACTTACTTGTCTTAGCGTAGTAAGTTCCCGTGAAAGACTTCGATAGTTTCGGTATCTCCACCGTCATGTCAGCGACGATGTTGGCATCCACCCGAGTCTGCAGCACGACGGATTTGGCATCTCTGTCCATTCTATAAAAACAAAATTATTTAACTTTCACTCAAATGCGTAAGGCCTGAACGTCAGGAGGGCGAATTCGCTGCGAATCCTACGCGCGAACACGAAAACCGCGTAATTCTTTGCGTAAGTTAGGGCCGCCAATGATGGCTTTTTGCAAAATAAGAACTACATATTTCATAAGATAAATCCTTGGATTCGTCCAAGGATAAATCGTTATAAATTATACTGATGTTTAACATGTTAAGTTTTTTATTCGTTAAATTAGCTTATATTTTAGTATTTGCTCAAAATACAGTGAGATTTAAAGGTGAAAGTGTTTTATTTTTCAAATTAAAGATACATAAATATAGCTCTGATGATAGAATACAGAGGCGTGACTCGGTTGAGTGTAAATATTGGTTTATAATCTCGCTATGAAGCCGAAGCTTTTCCACAATTTTTCTGTTCTTAAAAGCAAATGTGTAAATAGCGAACTGCGACGTCGATTGGAAATCGTAATCGTTAAAATCTATTTACGATTGATCTTGAACGATTAATCCTACATTATCCAGATGCATCAATAATCGAATAAAATTATTCTTCATCACGTTCGCACACTTGACGTGGGGAATCCTGCCATTCGTCTTTTTGGGGTTTATCCAACTACTTCACAACTTTAATAATTTGCAAAAGAAATTCACGGTAGGACTTGTATCAAGTACTGGGTAAAAGGATTTCCGTTAATGTCTACCGGGGAATTCCTTTTTGAGAAAGTACTCGCTTCAAGTTAATGATATTTCTCAGTCAAGGGCGCACTTACGGGGGAAGTTTCGTTTCGTTATTTTGATCAAAATTAATTCAAAGGGCATTATGATTAATGAAAAAAAATTGAAATAATTTCTGGATAATGCTTTGAAAATTGACGTCACCAAGTCATAAATACATACCTACTTAGAGAACTGTTACCTACTCGAATAACACTTTACATAGATTTAGAAGCAAGTTTTACAGTCATAATCATAAAATATTTCGTCCAGCATTGCCTTCGCTTGGCTCGAATGCAATGTGTGAATGAAACATCTAAACCTTCTTCTTGAATCACTCTATGCTATTGATGAAAACCATTGCGTACTTTAATGAAAACAAGCCATATGAGTCGAAAATAAGCCGTAACCGTAACTTACCTAAAATCTGCGATCTTTTGGTTCTTCAAACCTGTCACAGTTATATTCTTGAAGTGGAAGACCAAGTCTGACTGTGGAACCTCATAGGTCAGCTCTGAGATGACCAGGGGGTCTATGGCCTTGATGTTATAGGCAGGGATACCAGCGCAAGTTTTGCCTAGAAAGCTTTGGGTCGTGCTACTTAAGCAGTCCATGTCCTTTATTTTGCATGGGTGTAAAATGTTTTCTGTAACAAAATAATTATGAAAAACATGATTTTGTTGAGTAGTTCTGTGTACATCCATATTATCTTAAGATTTTTAACCTATGGCATGTCTACATATTATAATAATCTAAGAAGTACCTTTGTAGGAATATACTTTATTCAATAAACAATTTTATATTACATTTACAAGAAAACTTAAAATTACTTAAAAACTAAAATTTTATAGGTATGTAGGTATTTTTATATTGGAAATATTATGATTTTACGTAACCGTATAATTTTACCTTTAATCTGATACAGTTATAGATTACCAGCCTTACTTTCTCAATATGACTAATGGTTTACTAAGTAAGTAGTAGAAAAAAGTTTGCTTTCGTACATCATTCATGTGCAATAAAGTAGGTAAAATAGTTAGTTCATTTGTAACAAATTTACCAAAACAAACAAGTTGCCAGTGAAACTTGCTTAAATAATGCAACTCGATGGGTGCCTGGAATAAAGCCGCAATCGACAAAACACAATTTTACAGGAGAAGAGATTTAGTGAATTTTTTGAATAATAAATAAACTACGAGGCGTATCCAAATGGTTTGTATATCAAACGATGCGTTATTTTTTCTGGAGTAACATATAATGTGCATAAGGTTATAGTGCTTAGAATATACCTTAAAAAAGGTAGAAATACATATTGCCGCTTCATACATTGAAAGTCGGTTCCGTAAGAGTCCATTGTGGTTTTATTCCGGTAAAAAGTGCAAAAGTAATCATACAGCAATAGTGCATTGCAGCGTTGTGCGCTGATCTGAAGGATGTATGGCGAATACAGTAATAGCGGTTTGCTTGAATTTAATGATCGACTTGGAAAATGTACTGGTGAATGCTGTGTACATTATATGTTCATATGGTCCGTATCGAAATGAGTACAAAGTTGAATATCTAGAGTGTTTCGTTAATATCTTTATATAAAGTAGTGGAATTAATTAGTACATAATGATAATATTATAATATTACACGCTTTTGCCCGCGGCTTTTTCGTAGTTTAGAAGTTATCAATAATTTTGTAACTTTTTTTCAATTTCATGACCTAGTAGGCTTTAAAAAAACTTATCTTTATTTCGGGTTGACTTATCTCAGATTTCTTTATTTTGACAATATCGCTATTAATTGCAAATGTTTGAAAAAAATATTCACCTTCCTATCTTTGATGCAAGATTCAAAATTTTTGCTAGAAACATAAAAAAAATGCTTTTAGCAGAACATTCTCAAAATTTCAACTTAAATGTTTAAATAATAAAAAATGAGAACTTTCATAGGTCTAAAATAATTTTAAAAACTGCGCAGTTTTCTGGACATTCATAATAATACAAAAAAAACATGTACTTAATAGGCCACTATTTTTGTAATCGCTCCACTAAAGTGGTAAGTCGCTAAATGTTTTTGACTTTCTTAAAGTGAATTAATATGGGCAATCTTCTAAGTTTACATTACGTAGAACAGATTTAGAGACAATAACTGAACAGAACATGTTTTTATTCTCAGCAAGGAAGCTTTTGCCCTTTATCACACCTGGTGGAAACTGTGATCAGGCTCAAGGTAGAAGGAAACTTCAACTACAGAGAAACTATGGCTTCCTACCTCCAATGCCGAAACATATTGTTATTATAAATAAGCTTTAATGAACATAAACCAAATATCCCTCCTTCTTCTCTTCCTAAGTCCCCTTTATCTTCCTAAGTCTGTCGCCATAACAATAATGTTGACAGCATTACTGTGTTCCAGCAGTTGTCAGGTAGGTACACACAGACACAGCATTGCTTAATGTAAATCCAATCAACATATTTTTATTGCATAGAAGAACACCATGAAGTATTATTACTTAAGAAAGTTTAAAGAAATTGTACAAGTAGGTAATGTTTATTGTGACTTGGTACACATAGTTTGTTTCGGGGAACAAAGCCGCAATGGCCGTTACTTGTAGAAGTTTGAAATAAAACTTTTAACATTGAACATGCCACGATTATTCTGGTAAACAAATTTCCGGGAATAACGATTCAATATCCATAGTGCTTTTGGTAAATCAGCCAGTTTCAAAGATAAAATTCTGAAAAAAAAATCACAAGGTGTATAGGGACCCCCAGATTACGAAAATCGCTTAATCGGAAAACTGCTGCTATGGCTATTGCGGCTTTATTCCAGGCACCCATCGAACTGTAGAGCTCTTATGTTTTAAGATCAATGAATAGCGATTCAAGAAAGAATTATTTCTCAGAAGCACAAAATGCATCTTTAAAATGAATGTAAGTTGACATTAAGATGAGAAGTTTGATGCAGTCGCGTCTGGAATTATAAACCGGTTGCATGCGGAAATTCGAAAATGTTTAACTCGCACAAAATTACTAAAATCTTTAGTTGGTTTTGGTTTTATGAACAAACGAGTTGCTCGTTATTATTATACTTGTTATAATATTAAGGACTCTACACACCAAGACAGCACGGTGGCAGCTTATCTTAAAAAAATCATGTCGATGACTTGAACTTTCTATGACTTATGTCGGCGAGTCTGCGGGTTTTGTGAGTAGACTGTATCAAAAAGTCTTCGGAATAAAATACAATTTTAACTATTTTCTAATAAGTAGTTATGTGTAAATATACTGAAACACTTATTTATTGGACTTTTTGGGAGGGCAACGTGAAGCTCAAGACCGAACACAATGGAGGACTGTTGTGGACGTATTTTGCCCCATCTAGGTCCTTAAGTCAAGTACAAGTCAAGTTGGTAGGGCATAAGAGTAAGTAACTGAAATATATATTTATTACTGCAAATTAAATCAAAAAAATCAATAATCAAAATCAAAAATATTTATTCAGTTTAGACCACAAGTGGCACTTATGAACGTCAATAGAAAATAATAAAAAAAGAAAAGGTAGCCCTTATGGGGCACTTTACATGTCTCCTTATCTTTTGGGCCCTACCAGTATATTGCTTCCTTTAGCGGCTCTCATAGTAACAACGACATGCCTACTTTTTAACCTCCTGATTTCATGTCGGTTAACAATAAAACAACTCTACATACCTTCTGATAGAGCACTCTTACATAACGCAAACAAGAAAAACAATTTTAGCACTTCCATTTTTCCACAAACTTTTATCAACTTTATTCACTTCTCAGTCGGTTCCAATTCGCGTCTGTTAGTGATAATTTAAACTTATGACTTCAATTATATACGGCTATAATAATTATCAGCGTAAACATAATAATTAAGTGCGGATAAAAGGAAAGAATTCTGATATCATAGGTCAGAAATTATCTCCGACACATGTCCACAAATGGCGGTGGTGACTCGTGGCGATACTTATGTCATTATTAAGGTTCTTACACATAATTTTTCTATGCTCATTTACCATTTACCGCCGCTGGGGCAGGAAAGTTCTTGAGTGGCGACCACGAGCTGGAAGACGTAGCGTGGGCAGGCCTCCCACTAGGTGGACCGACGATCTGGTGAAGGTCGCGGGAGGTACCTGGATGCAAGCGGCGCAGGACCGATCTTTGTGGAAATCCTTGGGGGAGGTCTTTGTCCAGCAGTGGACGTCTTTCGGCTGAAACGAACGAACGAACGAACTATTTACCATTTGAAAGAACATTATTGTACATTAAAGCAATACCTACATAACAGCCTCTTATTTTTAAGGGATAAAAATATCTTTGAAATATTTATCTTACTTTTGATTATTGCGTTAATAATCCGAACGAATCTTAAAATAATTATAATTGTAGACATCAGACGAAAAACACACAACTTCAGTTTTTAGACAAAGTTGAATTAAACTTTCATACGTTTCAGCTTGATACCTATTATGGTAAATGGTGGTTTCTAGTTCATTAACAATGGTATTAATCTTTATTTTAAGAGACCACTGGAAGCTTTCTTGGTGTCATTAACATTATTTACGGAATGGTAATCGGGCTTTAATATTAAATAGCCTAGCCATCGATTTTCCATTTAAATCAATTAGCACTGGATGCATTACCTACCTAATTGCCTGCAATTAATACCCATCCCGTCAGAACCATTATTATTTTATACATATACTTAATTAACTATAATATCATTAAGTATCAATATCACTTTATGTAGGTCTCTTCTCCTCTAAATAGAGGATTTCCTAATTAGTTAGGAAGGACTAAATGATGCTGAAATATAACATTTAGTTAATTTAAACATTCATTCAGAACGTCAAGTCATTTACTATAAATTATTTTAAATCAATCACTTATTAAATAATTCCGTGAGTTCCGTCTCGTAGCCTAAATTGCTCACTCAAATGTGTTTATGATAAAGCTACGATCAGACCAATATTTACACTTCCAATTGATTCAATGAATTGGAATTTATTTAGGGTAGGTCAGGAACCTCGAGTGGCGACCACGGGCTGGAAGACGTAGCGTGGGCAGGCCTCCTACTAGGTGGACCGACGATCTGGTAAAGGTCGCGGGAAGAGCCTGGATGCGGGCAGCGCAGGACCGTTTATTGTGGAAAACCTTGGGGGAGGCCTTTGTCCAGCAGTGGACGTCATTTGGCTGAAACAAACGAAGGTCAGGAACCAAGGCATCAAGTCACCACAAACTCTAGATTTTGTTATAAAATAGCATCCATTACAAATAAATAAGATGCCTCTATCTCTAGCTTGATGTGCTGCCGTCTGTTGATCCAGTCTCACAGACAGTGCGTACTTATGATATGTGATATTTATAAGACAATTTAATTCATGTCATACCAGACGATCGATTGGTGTAGTGGTTCGCATACCGGACTGCGATGCTAGGGAAAAATTTGAGAATAATAACCTAATATAATCTATACAAATATTATAAATGCGAAAGTAACTCTGTCTGTCTCGCTTTCACGCGTAAACCACTGAACCGATTTTGATGAAATTTGGCATAGAGATAGTTTCGAGTCCCGGGAAAGGACATAGGATAGTTTTATGTTTTTCTGTGACAGAAAAAATTTGGAAAGCTAGTAGTAGAAATAAATAAATAAATAAATAAATAAATACTCCTTTTTTATTAAGTCAGTTAAAAAGACACTGATTTATTAACTTTCTTCTGGATTAACTACGATACTATTTACTTATAATTATTCCCTGCTTTCCTCATGTTACCAAATGTTCATCTAAGTGTTTATTTTTCCTTTTCAAGCGTTTAAAATTCTGACGTTAATTTTATTATTAGATTTTTTTAAATGCTTGTGGTTTTTACCAAATTACACTGACCTTGTCTATAGATTTCTTATGATACGTGTCTTTATTTAATTGCTGGGGATTTTATGAATGAATTTTGTAAAACCACATTTACCTACCCCATTTAAAAGTTATAATAAGAGTAGCTAATATTAACTGTAATTACTTTAACTTTATGAAAATAATTATAAGAAACCGTACCTATCTCAAGACAATTTCATGTAAGTTTGAGATTAAGTATAATTGTTCCAAACTTAGTTGTCTAGACTTTTCATAAGATTTTATCATTAAGCGTGGATTTAACATCATTAAACTTGTAATTAAGCAAAAAGATTTTATTCAGCGCAGAAGAAAATTTACAGATTGAAATATTATGACAGAGGTCAAAGGTCGTGAGTTCGTGTGCCATCCATAAAGTTAATATTCCTTCCGCTAGGTATATACCTAAAATCTGTCTCAGATGGCACCATAATGTTTTAATTAACAGATTTTTTCAGCCAGTTTTGAGATGATAATTGTACTCGTAATACCTATTTATTGAATTTACTTAGGCAGTTATTTAATCCTTTTGGATAAGTAAGTAGGTACTTCATAAATAAACTTAGATGGGTAACATTCAATGGTTCATCATTACTCCTCCACAGATTAACATCTGATGCTGTCCATTTAAATTGTGAATTAGTTAGTGGTGACTCAAGTTTTTTATAGGCGAATTTAAGGGTCGCTAGTTTGATTCCCATCGACTGACAGCTGAACTGTGGTGGACTTACTTCCAACAGAATCATGTTTTCTCAGCTGAAGGGGTTAACGGGAAAGTAATTTGTTTAGAGGCGATTATAGGAGAAATATGATAATTATTGTGTTAACCCAGGCCTGTCTCCATCTGGCCAAAACGCGGGAAGTCTAGGAAAAATCCTTCTTTAGCCTCTGGAAAATTGGATTGCGATGATGATGATGTGCAGTAGAAATTAGTCATGCTCGTTTAATTAAAAAAAAGGAGTCAGCAATTCAATGTCCTCAACAAATATCAACGCCCCAACCCGTTTCGGACAGTGCACTGTTGAACTGGTTCTTTTGTTTTTCAGAAATAAAAGATCGTATAAGTATAACTCGCGGCATTGAACCGGTCGCTTCTTATTAGTGCAAAATGTTGTGCCGAAGTGTCCGCATCGTGGTTTGTGTGCTCTTGCTGGGGCAATGTGGTGGCCAGTTCATGTTCAAATTTAGGGAGAGACCTATGATGTGTGAGTAAACACTTTTATATTGTACCTAAAACTCATAATTTTTATTTTTGCATGTAGTAAAAAGCATTTTTACACGTCCCAGTATAAACCCTACCACTACTTCGGGACATTAAATGGGCCAGTGCTGAAAAGAAGCAGCGCAAGAAACTTCGGAAGGTACTTGACCGTACCTACCAAGTCTTCGAAGTGTAAACAGTTTATGAACAAGTTTAGAGTGACCTGTGTGAGTAATTACTTTTTTGTAGAGTAGAAAGGCACTTGACCGTATGTCACTGATATAATGCAGTTTTGGATGCAGTCGTACGTTACTTCTACCCGTCTCTACATTAACTGTGATGTCAGTGAACATTTTTCATACATTGCGTATCTTTTACATTTGTATTTACTGAAATATTAAGTCACTACACTATGTATCTTCCATTAGGAGAGGATGGATGACTTGCCACTGAAGATCTGGCCTGTGAATGCAAAACTTTAGTAAAAGTTTAATAAAGAAGTTCGTACAACATTGTAAAATGACAAAATCTACAAAATTATTTTGATACGCTTGTATTCTACCCATTGTTTGTCTGTAGGTATTTACTATCAATCACTATAAAGACTGCAACTGAAATAGCAACATCAACATTGCATTTATTTGTTAAAACCGATTTAATTTCTATCCAGAAGATCTAAGATGCTAAAATAAGTTTTCAGTTTTGTAAAATAGAATTTTAGACCACAACTGCCTCGCTTTGGCTAGTATTTTGTAACCTTATTAGCATATTATACTTAAATTAATGCGGGTTTCTATTATGAAATCAAAGGTCGAGGTTACATCAATTTTGGTAGGGATATTGAAATAAATTCTGTAGTTTGGTGACTAGAGACCAATTAATAGCATCAAAATTTTAGATGAATGATGCAGCAGATGGCCTCGATAATTCCTTAAAGAGCAAATATCAAAGTCATTATTTTTCGTACCGCAGCTGCGCAGACGTGCAAGCAAATTTTTAGGAAAAAATGCACAAGTTAACCCATTTTAATTTTTTTAATGAATCCCATGATTAGTATTGTAAGGCGGAAATATTTTGCAGAAAGGAAACCGAAAATCAAAATCCTTTAACTTCTCTATTGTCTATTACTTACTATTTTTCGGAATTTTCGTCCATCTTTAAACGAACCTGATTGTCCAAAGGGAATTTTGATATCGTTCTATCCAGACAATATGTGAGAGCTTTTGAGCCGTCATAAACGTCTAACCACATTGGGACCTCAGATATTTTCAACCCACACGACAGAAGGAATAGACAAGTACTTACAAAGGTTGACTTTTCTAAAAATAGGCTTCCAAATCTAAGTGTTGATATACCTAGCCTATGTAATCTGGCCAACGATGTACACTATAATAAAATGAAATAAGCCTGAATAAAGGGAGTACAGCAGCCTTCGCGTGTCGTAAATAATACCAAAGTGGGGGTCCCGTAGGAACGTTATATTGCAGCCCGTTCAAATTTACAGCAAGGGAATTTTTATAACCCTCGTATAGTGTGGCAACGCACCCACAGTTCGTAATGAATTTCAAGATAGTAATAAACTGGGTTAAAGCTTCATAATTTTGATTGACAAATAGTGACTGAGTTTCTTGCGCTGCTTCTTCTCAGCACTGGCCCATTTATTGTCCTGAAGTTAATACTGGGACGTGTAAAAGTGCTTTTTTAAGCCTATTTACAGAAATAAATG